GCCAGGTAGGTGCTTCCTGAGATGACCCAAGGTAACCTCAACACACAGCAAGGTGGCTGGTGCCACAACTGGTCCAGGAGACCTATGGAGGTTGGGCAAGAAGGCAGGGTGACCTCGCTGGGCTGCAGCAGTAAAGGCAACTGCACAGGGCCCACGGGGCCCCAAGGATGCCATCTAGGATGCTGGAGATGCTGACCAAACCCACTCCCAACCATGCAGAAGGCACAGTCATCCCAGTGAGCCCAACATGGACCATGTCTGGTTCCCAGCCCCATGTTCCCTTCCCAGGTGGTGATCAACAGCCACAGTAGAACTTCCTCCTGCAGCTCTCCCAGGTCTCCAGCCTCTGTTATTTTGATTCAAAACAAAAAAACTTTTAAAAAACATTTCAGTTGAAACTTGCATAATTCTTCCAGTGGAGAAATCCTCCCTTGGCTTTCGCAATCCTTAGAAAGAGATGTATTATTACCACAGAGTCCGGCCGCCGGCCACCAACACCTCCTGCCAGACAGCCAAGGAGAGGCCCCGGAACCACCGCCTCCTCCCTGGCCCTGCGGGCAGCAGTGTCACAGCTCAGACCTGGGTTCCCCCCTACCCCCGCCTCCGGGGCGGGGCTCAGCTCACACTTAACCCAGACTTCCTCACACTCAACATCCTGTCTGCCCTTACGCGACATCTCAGACAGACATTACACAAACCGGCTGCAGGAGAGGTTGAGAAACAAGACGCCACAGTCAATGACCTTACTCAGAAGACCCACGCTGCCCAAGGGATGTCAGGGAGGCAGCAGGAGACAGAGGTGAGGGCTGCTCAACAATCTCACTGCCCCCAGAAGACAAGGGACCAACAGGCTTCTAGGACAGAAAGACATGCATGCTGGAGAATGACTACATGAGGCTCTGCAAAGGTGGACTAAGGTCATCAGAACGAGTGGGCAAGGCCAGGGTGCATACCACACCCTGCACACTCCCCCCCTCTGCTGGGACATAGCTGGGTCAGGCTGTGGGCAGAACCCTGAATGCATGCTCAGCCACTGTTCCTTCTCCCTTTGAGAAGGGCCCACTGGCCTTTGTCCCTACTGACCAGACCTCTTGATCTTCAGGGGCTCCCTGTCTAGCAGCCTGTCCTTTTAGCACAGATGGTACCCCATCTTCTCTACCAAGCACCTGGAGAAGATACCATTAAATCCAAGAAAGCCCAGCAGGAAACAGTGTAGTAAACACTCTTGGAAAGGAAGCCAAGGGACCAGGGACAGCTGAGCCCTGGAAGTGCCATCCAGACTCAGGGCAGCCAGGTAAGTGAGTACAGCCCCAAGGCAGCACACAGAGCAGCAAGAGGTGGGGGGCCCAACTACCTATACCATGCCATGCTCTCCTGCCTCAGCTTAACAGCAAGGCGCAAATCACTGAGAGGTGAGCTCCTGCAACCTGAAAGTGGTTGCCATTCCCAAGTCCACCTTAGGACTTGGTGCTCAGTAAGGCTGTCCATCTGGCCCGGTATCTGCCTGCATCAGGTCAGGAAATTCTTCAAGAGGCACATTCCAACTTAAGGCACCCAGACAATTCATGCCAAGTCACCCACAGGAATAGCAATAACCCCAGAGGAGGGAGTGCACCTAAGAATCAGGCCCCGCGAGACAGGTACGGTCACTTAAGAAGCCAGACTCCTCAGTCAGGTCAGTGTTCAAACCACAGGCGGCTATGGCCAGAGGAAGGCACCGCAGCACCTTTTTGCCAGCCTGGGAGAGCAGCCACCAGTTACCAGCAAGACCTCCTGTGGGACAGAGCTGTGTCCCAGACAGCAGGCCAAGTGGCAGCTCATACCACCACTGTTCACATCCTTTGGACAGAGAGCAAATCTGTGCTCACAGAGATAGAGTGCATGAAGCCCAACAGCTCTGAGACAACAGGAGAGGAAGGGAGAGATGGCGCCAGAGAGAAGGCAACAGAAGGCAAAGGAAGGCTCAGTGTTCCCATCTACCTTTACCCTAACTGTACCATCCAAGACACATTACACAGAATCCCTAAAGCAGTGAGGCAGAGTAGGAACATAAACACAGACCCCATGAAGTTCCAATCAGACTGGCTCAGTGAATGGCAGACAGCAGCTCACAGCAGTCCCACCAACTGACTCACTGAGCACGGACAGCCTGTGTACTTTCAAACTACACCTGCAGGAAGCTGTCCCCATGAAGTTCCAATCAGACTGGCTCAGTGAATGGCAGACAGCAGCTCACAGCAGTCCCACCGACCGACTCACTGAGCACGGACAGCCTGTGTACTTTCAAACTACACCTGCAGGAAGCTGGTCTTGGGGCCTTCGGACCACCATTCCCCTACTCCCATGACATTGGGAAACACCACCAAGGAAGACTGATTGGCCTGGCGGCCATCAGACCACCATTCCCCTACTCCCATGACATTGGGAAACACCACCAAGGAAGACCATGAGCCCTCCACATGGTCATGGCACTGCTGACAAGCCAAGGCCTGAGGACATCCACCTGCACACAAGTTTCCAGGCTCAAGACTGGAACCCCAGCCCCACTCAGCCAAACCTAGGAACACAACCCAACCCCAGCCAGGACACTGTGAAGCAGGGCAAAGGTAACCAGGGTACTGGAGACCCAGGAAAAGCACCCACCTCCCCGCTGTGGCTGCAGAGAAATGCAGCCTGGTCCCACTGCAGAAGGGTACCCAGCCACCTCCACAGATCCCCAAAGCGTCCAGCTCAGGCTGCCTTCAGCAGGTCTGCCGAACACCATCCCTGCAGAGTTCCAGCACACTCTTTGTTCCTCTTGCTCTCCTCCTCAGATCAGAAATATTAAAGTAAGCTACAAAGGAAATGAAGAAATCAAAACACATTCTGCGAATCTGTGGCAAGAGGGAGTGGGAGGAACCAAGGGCAGCAGCAGTGAGGCAACCGGGCCATCCTCGGGGTCACCACGGTCCCACACCCACCTTGACTGACACCACTTCCCTCACGGCACTCTCGAGTGTGCGCTCGGCTGTCGTGGGGGGGTTCACAGGAGACCCACACAGCTATTATGCCCAAACACAGGGGCCGTAAGTGAGGGCAGAGCCAGGGCACATGGGCTGAGATACCCCACGAGGGGAGAGAGCCCTGCAGTCCCTCATCAGGAAAGCACAGAGGGTGTCAAAAGCGCAGACCCCAGGCCAAGGCTGCCACTGCTGGGGCAGGGCTGCTGCTCAGGCTGAGACCCCAGTCACTTTCAAATCGTGTCACACTCAGGAACTTCTGCATCAGAAATGAGGTGTGCGCAGACCCTCGCAGAGAACACAGAGCCAGGGTACCAGCCAAAATGACATGAGCCATGGAACCCGTCCTAGCCACGGCCTTCTAACCCAGCAGAGCTCAGCAGTCCTTCAGCCACAAGGCACGCACACCCAGAACCACAAGGCCTGCTGCAAGGGAGGAAAAATGCCGTCCTGCTCAGCAGCATCTGGGACAAAGAGGCCCTGGAAAGGCCCAGCAGAAGGCCCACAACACACACATGACCCAGAGTCAACAAAAACAAACAGACACACCCTGCTCCATCAAGATCCTCACACTTGCTCCGGAGACAGTAACTAGGCCTCAGCGGGTCAACCAGCTCCAGGGTCTGTGCAACCCCTACCCCTTTGCACAAGGCAAGGTGTGGGTATGCCAGGCCAGAGGACCTCTGGGCACAGGGAGCACAGTAGCCCACCCACAGCCAGCTCCCATCCGACATGAGGGGCCACCAGCCTGCAGGACTCCTCCACAGCCTCCCCAACCCAGGGACTGCAGGCAGCTGCACCTGGGCGCTGGCCCGGCCGCGCAGAGCCGCCTTGGAACACACAGGCGCACAAGCACACCCACTCTCTTGCAGCCCCCACTGAGATGAGGCGACAGTCCCTCTTCACTCCTCCCCTCCCCCACGACTCTGACACTCCGCTGGAGGGGCGCCCAGAGAAAACCGGGCTGCAGCATCTATTCACAGATTTAGAAAAAAAGTTTGATGCAATAGCTGAATTAATTAGGCCTCCCAAGAATAGCTGAGCCAATGCAGCACTCTGCGTGTGCAATTTAACAAGCCTGGATATGTGAAAGAAAAGTTACAAACATTTGGTGCCTGTGCAACAGAAAGTTCCTGTGGACTCCAGAGGACAATTTCAGCATCTGGTGACCCCGAATATGCCCAGCCGGAATCCACAGTCTCCAGGCAAACAACAAACAGCACCTGGGCAGCAGCCCTCCACACGCAGCCCTCTGCGTGGCTGAGAGGGAAAGAAGGAAATGAGCGCGCCCAAAATAAATCGCAGCAATTCTATAACACTCGGGGCCTGGACCCTGACCAGGTCAAGCATCCCTTACCCCTCTTGGGAGACACTGACATGGCCGAGGGAGACTAGGAAAGACAGGGCTGGAGTCTCCAAGTCCCAACCATACCCCTGCAGCCCAGATACTTTTGTGTCTGTGTCCCAAAACTTGAGGGCACAAAAGGAGAAAGCTGGCAAACCAAACCAGCAATCTGCTGGGACCAAGGCCTGGCTCCCTACTGCCTGCAGTCTAAGAGGCTTCTGGGGTGACAACTCTCCCCACAACCGTGTCCAGACGGGGGCTCTCTGGAGACCTGGACCTGAGGTTTGCAGCCTGAGCCCAGCTGCCTGAACTTCCTGGAGTTTATGGTTGGCCTCTCCCTGACAGAACCAGGCCCAGCATTCTGGGCAACGGGCATGGGGCTCCCACGGGCCTTTCCACTCACTAGACCAGTCCCCCAAACCACTCAAGCTCGGCCTGAGGAGCCAAGCCCATCCGGCCAGACGCTTCCCTCGCCAGGCCTCAGGGGCCTATCAACAGGCACGCTGATGCTGTCGTCAGCAAGACAAAACAAACCCCTGAAATACAGGGTGAGGCAGAAATGCTGGTCCCAGCCCCGGACGACCACAGCCCAGCCACCCAAGAGGAGCCACCACCGTCAGCACAGCCACTAGGCCCACCGGCCTGGGGACACTCACCCGGGGCACCCGCCGCTTGTACTTGTTGCCATAATCGAACTTCTCTTTCACGTCGTCAAGGCAGCGGCCTAGGCGGGCCTGCTCCTCCTTGCCGGTGTAGTCCTGGCTCAGCAGGATGTAGGCCCGCCAGTTGGCCGAGTCGAAGCCCCAGTGGCAGGTCCGGTTCTCCAAGGCCTTGTGCGAGTGCACCACGAACTTGTGAGGCGGGTACATGAGGCGGCAATCGAGGCACTGGATACAGGCTGCGCTGGGGCTGCTGTACAGCTCGGGCACCAGCAGCCCCTTGCACTTGCCGAAGCATTCGTGGTACACGCGGACACTGCGCTCACTGAGCTCCAGGCCCAGCGCCAGGCTGGCGGCCAGCTCCTTCTTGCAGGGCGGCGGGTAGGCGCCGCCGTAGAGCAGCGCGTTGCACAGGCGTTCGGCGTCCGTCTTGGTGATGAGCCCGCACGAGGGCGCGGAGAAGGGCAGGATGCCCATGACTTTGAGGATTTCCAGCTGATCGGCCGTGCAGCGCGAACAGTAGATGTGCAGCTCGTCGCACACTGAGTTGATCTGCTGCAGCGAGAAGTCGCGCAGCACGGAGTTGAGGATCTGCGGCAGGCACAGGCGCTTCTCACCGCCCACCACGAAGCAAGAGATGGTCTCGCCCTCCAACACGGTCTCGCAGCGCTCCGTGGAGCGGTCGGATGGCATGAAGAAGGGCCCGGGCAGCACCGGCGGCGGCGGCTGGATGGCGGG